GAATGTGGAGAGGAACTTGGGCGATTCTAACACTACGGTACTAGGCCCGTTTTGGAATCCCATCACCGATCTTTTGTTTTTTAAGGTTAAGGTAAGTAAAGTTGATAGCAGTCCTACTAAACTAACGGTCTTAAGTGACATTGCCAGGCTATACGATCCAGTGGGGTTGTTGGCCCCGGTTGTTGTGACAGCGAAAATGCTGGTTCAAAGGCTTTGGGTGGCCAAACTAAGTTGGGACTCCCCTTTGCCATCTGGGCTATCTGAAATTTGGCTGAAATTTCGAGATAGTCTCATCGAACGAGTTAGAATACCACGTTGGCTATGCATTTCAGAAACGTCAATACCAACGTTGCACGGGTTTTGTGATGCGAGCACCAAAGTTTGTGCCGCAGTTGTTTACATAGAGTGCAGTGATCTCAACGGGGAGTCGCATTTCACCCTAGTGGCAGCCAAGACAAAGGTTGCACCGCTGAAGGAAACTACTATTCCCCGTCTGGAGCTATCTGCCGCACAACTTCTAACCACACTCATGTATAATGTACGCCGCGCTCTTCGTTTGGAGGATGCTACATATAACTTATGGAGTGACTCCACGATTGTCCTTCACTGATTCGTCGGCAGCCGGCTTCATTGAAACAGTTTGTAGCTAACCGCGTAGCATACATACAATCGAAATCATACTCCGATACCTGACGCCACATTATATCCGAATTTAATCCCACCGACTGTGTGAGTCGTTGAATACCTGCTTCGGAAATATAAAATAATCTACTTTGGTGGGGTGACCCAACCCTTTTTCATCAGGTCGAGAAGGCGTTATCAGAACTCCCTGACTTGACAACGACGAACAACAAGTCTTCATCATTTAGAGCCGTGCACTTAATACCTTTCTTGGCGTGGGAGTCGAGGCGCGATTATTAATGCCGTTATTTGGAACACAGCGAATTCCTTTGATAGAAAAATTTAGCCGACTGGAAGCGCTACTCAATACGACCGCGCCCATTCGACGCCTAATTCACTCCTTTCGGGAGCTTCGCTCAAACGAGGTGGCTACAGCAGAGGAGAAGGAATGGGCATTGAACATTCACATACGTCAAAGTCAAGGTAATTTCTACCAAACTGAAATTAATGTACTCAAGACTCATTCCAGCGTTGGCGCGTCGAGAAAACTGCTCCCGCTGGACCCTATTTTAGACGAATGAGGTACCCTACGAGTCGGTGGACGTTTAGCTAATGTAGAATTGCCAGCTGATCAGAAGCATCCAATAATTCTTGCCAAGAAATGCGCTTTGGCAAAATTACTAGTTATCGATGCTCACCGACGATGTGTGCATGGCGGGATACAGGAGATGCTTTACTACGTGCGATCGAAATTTTCGATTATACATGCCCGACAACTTGTGAAGTCATGTATCCACCAATGTGCTGTATGCCGGCGACATTCTCAAGCCACCCAGCAGCAGCAGATGGCGTCCCTTCCTAAATCGCGGGTGATGGTGGCGCCACCTTTCACCCATACCGGATTCGACTACTGTGGCAAATTCAACGTTTGACTTGGAGGAAAGCAATCCACTACTTTGGTCATATCATATGGTGCGATATTTATCTGTATTGCCACCAAGGCTGTACATATTGAGCTTGCGAAGAGTTTGTCCATTCAGTCATTTACCGATATATTTGACCGCTTTATAAGCAGACGGGGACTATGTTCCATACTATATAGCGACAATGGAATGCAGTTTGTGGAGCTCGAGGATCGACAAATGCGTGAAGATTTACGAGACTGGGAAATATTTACGCAAAACAACACGTAGCATCAATTGGTAAAAGGTGGAAATTTACCACTACAGCCGCACCTCATCACGGAGGATTATAGGAAGCAGCTGTACGTTCAGCCAAGAAGCACCTGTATATGATTATCGGCCGTCAGACCCTACGCTTTTATGAGCTAAGTACGTTGCTCATTAGAATCGAAGCATGCTTAAACTCGACCCACTCGTTCCCCTATATGACGATTCCAGCGGAAGTTTGGCACTCACACCCGGCGACTTTTTGATTGGTCGACAGCTGAACCCACGTCCCGAGCCACCTTATTGTCAATATTCCCGAAAATCGTTTGATATATGCGCAACAATTACATAAAATGGCGCAGTAAACATACAAACATATGTCACGCCATTATACAGTTGCTTTATCACGCCATTGTGCCGTATACAAGTTAACGCCGTTAACATTTAAACTCCACACACGAATATTCCCACGCTTACATAGGCTACCTGCATTACTCACATTTACACAAGTTGCCTGCAT